TTTTTTTTTTCCTTAAAAAATTTCAACAGGGCCGGGCGGTGGTGGCGCACGCCTTTAATCCCAGCACTTGGGAGGCAGAGGCAGGTGGATTTCTGAGTTCGAGGCCAGCCTGGTCTACAGAGTGAGTTCCAGGACAGCCAGGACTATACAGAAAAACCCTGTCTCGAAAAAACAAAAAAAAAAAAATCAAAAAACGAAAAATTTCAACAGGGAAAAAAGGGCACAATCAAGGCAAAACCAAACTCCCACAGTGTAAAAACAATTCAATGTTCAATTTCTGGGATTCACCCAAAAACTCTTTTGGAAGTTTGCCTTTGGGGCTTTCCCAGGAGACTTGGGTAGCCCCTCTGGGCCCACCTTTGACACATACATAGCATGCCTTTTAGGTCCCAGCTGGCTCTAGTTAACTGTGGCTGGTATTTCCAATATAGTCACCAGCCTCTTCATAACAGCTAGGGTCCCCAGTTATACCTGGGCTCTCTTTAGGACACGCTGTCAAGCCTCAGCTATTTCCAATGAGTAGTTAATATATAACTGGCTCTCATTCTGGGACCAAAGGATCCCAAGTTCAAGGATTGTCTGGCTACTTAGCAGGACTAAAAATGTCTTTGCTTATACTGTGGGAATGGCCTCTGGTTGCATCTAAAGGTGTCTGTCCTCCCAGGAGGCACAATTCCCCAGAGGAAAAAGAAGCTTCTAATACAACTACAAAGGCCAGGTTGAGCCTGCCAACCACAGCAGAGTTCTGGAACCTAGGCAACACATGGGAGAACGGGGAGGGGGGGGTGCGCTGAGGCCCTAACAGACTGGTCACCATATTGCTGGGAGCATGCATGTCATTACAGGAGTATCATGTCTCCCTTGACCAACACCTCCTCAGCAGGAAGATCTTCCAGGGCAGCCCCTCTCTGTTCCTCCCTTGCTATGCTCAGAAGCCATGGGACCTCTGTTCATGGGGGGTGGGGAGGTACATTTTTGGCACCCTCAAAAACAAGTGGTTTCCTCTTTCTAGGATCAATAGCAATTTTTTGAAGAGTGTTAGCAGACTTGATGAACCAACCACTCCTAGGGGGTGGGGAGCAGCTCCCAGGCAAAATCTATTTGCTAAACATTTCATTTGCTTGGTCCAGGGCTCAAAGCAGAACAGGGCCCCCAAGCTAGGCTGAGGAGTACACGTGGGGAAAAAGCCCCAGTTAGTCCCACTGACTAAAGACCACTGACCACAAATTATGGCCAATTCAAAGCAAGCTTTAATCTGTGCGTAGCACGGCCAATCTGATGGCCATCTCCCTATAAGGTTTGAGTTCTAGAAAACAGCCCTAAGTTCCCATATCTCTTTTCTAGGACAGAACTGAAGGGAGGAGGGCTTTGCAAGTAGAATGAACAAGGCAGTTAAGGAAATCTTCATGGAACATCTGGTACAGAACATTCTTGGTTATGGGATGAGGTACAGTCAAATTCTGAGAACCAGAAATCAAAACATAAGTTTTACAATAAACAGATCCTCAGAATGACTCCTGGCCTTGAAATGGACTTGGGCTGGTTCCTGATTTCCTTGTCTTACATTATCCTGTCATATCTTTGAAAGGAAGCTACTATTTCTAGCTATTGTAATGGTTACTGACGCCAGCGGAAGGCAAGCACGTTAGCATTCTCTATTCGTCAGAAGACAAGACTTATATATAAGACACCAGAAGGCCGTAGGAAACACTAAGAGTATCAGGAGACCTGCAGCAGCTGAAACAAGGGTGGTTAGACAGGGTGACCAGTTAAATAGGGACAGTCAATTGTTTCCTTCCTGTTTGTCTAAGTACTGCATTTTCAGATTGTTTCTTACAGTAGCTCAAGTTTCTCTATGCCTGATTGGTTGGCGTAAAAACAACAGGTTTCTCCAACAGCTACCCACAGCCCTTGTTTCATGAAGAGTAAGTCAAACCTTCTATTCCGTAAAATGATTTCTGCCAGAGAATCCACCTAATCATCCAATCTAGGGACTGAGTCTTTTATGATAACCTTAAATCCTATTTAACTTTAGCCTTCAGAGTTTTGAGCCCTGGTTTTGCAGGACTGGGTCTGATGTTCTTAGTGCTGCAGGGCCTACAATCCCTGAATTCACTAAGCAAGCGACTAACAGGAGAACCTCCCACTTTGGTTAAGGGTGGTCAGGTGTCTTGGCTAGATGCTGGCAGCCTTCATCCCTATCAGAAATGTCAACTTGAGGAAGGGCATGAGTGAGGATCTGTCCGGTGGACAATTCAGGAGACCAGCAGGTACTTGTGATATTTGGTATCAAGCCACCAAGCATCAGCAGAGATGGGAAGGAATTAGCTGCTGACTCTTAGTACCTGTGCTAGTCAGATGATGAATAACGGTTGTCCAACTACACAAATATGGAGAAGCTAGGAAGCCTGAAGTTTCTGACAGGAAACAGTCCTTGTCCTTGGACCTCACCTAGGGATAGCTTGGGCTGAGACCAGAAGCAGGAATCAGCAGAAGCTTGTGGCAAAATGCAGGGAGTGACAGATTATAAATCATTCCTACATAATAGGTGGGTTTGGGGTGGAGGCAAAACCATGAGTCCTGCGCCAGGTTAGATGCAAAACAGCGGAGGAAAGGTTGCAGTTAGCATAGTCAGGAGTGGAACTTTCATGGGAGCAGTGGAAGGAGGTGGATCGAGAGGTTAGAAACAGGCAAGACAGTAGTTGGAAGTCCAAAAAGGAGTAAAAGCAGGTCAGCAAGAAAACATTAAACCTTGGAGATCTTAACTTGGAGGAGATCCCACTCAATTTCTGGTTTTGGTGGCCCTCTTCTTCCATGAGATCCTTTGGTGCCTTCTTGAGGAGTGAGTAGCAGGAATGTAACAGCACTGAGCATCCAGAGAATCCTGAGAAAGGGGCGTCATCTTGGTTCCATGCAGTGAGTCTTGAAGTGGCAGGCTACCAGCGTCACCAGATTGGAACAGGTGGTCAGGTAGTGCTCAAGTCAGGTTGAGCAGCCTAGACTTGAGGAAAGATCTTACCCGGTGTTACTTGTAACCCCTTCAGGGATTCAGAGATTAATCTGTTATTAGCCCTTGATGTTAACCTAGGAAGTGGCTGTCTATAAACTATTTCACATGGAGTGAATTTTTCACAGGAGATGGTGCAACAGGTCCTTAGTGGGGACAAGAGGTCAACCCAGTTACCATGAAGTCTCAAGAACATATTTCGTGAGTTTCTTTTAAGGTCCTATTTGTTCTACCATCTCTGGGCTCTGAGGATAAGTCATGCTATGTAGCCTCCAGCGTATATTGAGGGCTTTTGAAGTCATTTGAGACAGTTTGGTCACGAAGGCCAGGCCGTTGTCAGACCTCAAAGTTAAGGAGAGGCCAAATCTGGGATGATTTCCACCACTAATTTCTTAGCTACTATTTGGGCTGTTTCCATTGAGGTTGGAAAGGCCTCTATCCATGTGGTCCACCGGACAGTGGTGGAGCACGCCTTTAATCCCAGCACTTGGGAGGCAGAGGCAGGCGGATTTCTGAGTTCGAGGCCAGCCTGGTCTACAGAGTGAGTTCCAGGACAGCCAGGGCTACACAGAGAAACCCTGTCTCAAGAAAAACAAAACAAAACAAACAAAAAAAAAAATCAACAACAAAAACATGTGGTCCTTGCTTGATTTCAGTAAAGTCCATTTCCCAAAATTAATCAGGTACAGGACTTTGACCAGTGCCCTTGGGGCAACATAGCCTTTTCTGCATTTACCAAGGTGCAGGTCAAGCACTTAAGTCAAGCACTTAACCCTCACTTAAGTCTAGATAGAGGGCATCATCAAAAATGGTAGGAGCAGGGCTGAAACCCAGAGGTAATCAGGTCCAGGTCAGGGTCAGCCCATTCAAATGCAAAGAGGCATTTAGTTTTGACAAAGGAATGGAAAAAATGCATCCTTACATACAGTACAGTATAAACCCTGTGCTCAGGCAGCAGCACTCTGAGCAGAGTATAAGGGCTGGGAACAACTGGGTAAATAGTTTCCACCCACCTACTCATTCCCCTTAAATCCTGGACTGGTTGATAGTCTAGGTCCCAGATTTCTGAAGAGCTCCAGGCTGACTAGCATGGAAGGAGTATGCTCACTTTGTGGATCTTGATTCACTCTCTGGCCTCCATCAGTACGGATGGAGTACAGCCCTGCTCAAATGGGCAGGGCCTCAGAAGTAGCTACTATACAGTATTAGTACAATAGAGGGGAGAAGAAGCTACTGTATAGTACTCAACTATAACTGGCAACACATGCTGCACCCTCCCAGGAGGATTGTCTTTAGCAGAAAAGCTTGGAAACATCCCTCATAAATTCATCTTTTCATTTCTCTTTAGGGGCCTGGATTGGACCCTGGTGATGGAGGAGGCACTTGTCAATTAAGGGACAGGTGAGGAACAGGATTTTGGCTGCACCCCCTAGTTGTAGTTTAGTCACATCTCCAGGGAACGAGATAGTTGCCTGGAGGTTGCATAGGTCTCTTCCCAGCAAAGTAAATAGGCACATTCAGGGATAACGGTGAAAGCATCACTGTTCTCTTTCCTGGATTAACTGTTAACTTTGTAGTCAGTTTATATTTTTTTGACTTCCCCTGTTGCCCCTGGAAATCACTGTTTGATTGGTGAGGGGTCCCAAGGGTTTTTGTAATACCAAATGTAAAGGCCCCTAGTCCTAGTTGGAATTTACAGATTGGCCCCAACTCAAAAGGCTACCATAGTTTCCCAGGGGTCTAATTTTAAAGAGCTATGGCCCTACTATGCTCTTAAAGCTAAAATTGGCCTCGATAGGAACAGACCTGTCTTCGATTGGGGCATTCATGTTTCCAGTGCCCCAATCTCTTGCAGTAAGCACACTGGTCTCTTCGCAGTCTTTGTGGTCTCTGACCACGACTGAAGGCGTCACAGGAATACTGTGAATCCATCAGAGTCTTAATCACTGTTTTTATTATCAACTCTTCTTCACTCTCTCTACTGTCAAACACTCTCTGGGCTATTTCCAATAATTCTGACCTAGTCATGTCTTCAAATCCATATACTCTCTGGATTGCATTACGTATGTCTGAGGCCGAATGGTCTACGAAGGTTCGGTTAATCTCGTAGTAGTTTAGCGGGTCGTCTGGATCTATGGCTGTGTGTCTGCGGTACACCTCCAGGAGGCGTTCGAGAAACTCCAAAGGTGATTCCTTTGGACGTTGTATAGTACACATCAACATTAAGTTGTCAGTGGGCTTTCGGGCTGCCTGTTTCATTCCTTCTAACAAAGCCTGGTGGTAGGTACTGAGTGCCATCCTATCTTCCTCTGCCCTATGGTTCCAGTCAGGTCTCCACGTAGATAGGAAACAGTCACCTACATCTGCCCTCCATCTGCCAGTCCGGTTGCCCATTCTGAGAAAGGCTTTCGCTGCCTCATTTAGAATCTGGCTCCTCTCCTCCATTGTGAAGAAGATGGCTAAGATATCCTGACAATCACCCCAAGAAGGAAAGTGGATGGAAAAGATAGACTCCATTAAAGAGATCAGGGACCTTGGGTTTGTGCTGAAAGAAGGGTACTGTCTCTTCCATTTAAAGAGATCAGTGGTGGTTAAAGGAATATAAGCTATACAGTTTCTGTTTGTGCTGAAAGGAGGGTTCTGGGTGTTCCGGTCAGAAAGATCAGTGGCAGGAGACCTGGTGAGAGAGGAGGAGCGAGGCGGCTGCTGCTGCTGCTGCTGCTGCTGCATCTGATGAGGGTTTGAAGCATAAGGAAGTAAGTCCCGATCAGATGTGGGGAGGGAAAAGGACAGGGAGTGATCCAGCTGGTGAGGTAGGGGTTGTGGTGAGGGCTGAGGTGGAGGTTTGGATTTGGATTGAGGTGAGGGCTG